AACAAGGAACATAGACAATTAGTGACAATTGCCGCTAAAAATATATATTTAGCGGCAATTATGAATTAAATGCTGCTAATGGTCATTTTTATGATAGTGTGATTCCATCAAGTGTTTATATTCTTCTTCTGTCTCTTTTTGGTGTGAGAAGAAAACAAGATGAGTATCTTCTTTTTACTCACTAAAATGGTTCCATCCCATTGTAATCTATGGGTTAGAAACAAAATAGACCATGTACTTTGTTTGGATTGTTGTTACGTATTATTTCATAATATATCATAATTTTTAGGGAAATTTAGCTAACTAGTCAAAAAAATTAACTTATTTAGTGATAATATTCATAATTTAATAATATTAGTAAACATGTCAAAAATGTCATTATTTTAAAAATAAATAATTATTCTGATATTATTAATATTTTCTCTCTCATTATTTACACCCTTTTTTTCTCTCACATAGATTACACATTTTCTTATATTTATGTAATTTGATAGATATTAATATTATTTTAATTTTTCTCTCTCTTTTCTTAAGCTTATCAATTTCTCTCTTACTTTCTTCCTAATCAAATCTCCTGATTTTTCTCTCTTTTCTTATTCTTCTTTTTAATTTCTCTAACATTCTTCCAAATAAATTCCATATATTTTCGATTCAATATATTAATGTTTTCTATTATTCTTATTTAATTTCGTTGCAAGATTTGATTTGAAGATTAATATTGATTTGAGTATTATGTTTTCAGATTCCTTATTTATTTACTTACTGATTTCAGTGTTTTTTTAATTTTTTTAATTTTATAGTTGTTCTTAAAACATTTTTTAGGGTTTGAGACTACATAATTCTCTCTTCAATGGACGTTTTCAAGAGACTTACTAAAGGTATGACACAAAATAATCAAAGTTCTTCCGATTTTCCATCATTTAATTTTTTTCACTCAAGAATTAAACAACAATGTAGGTGCCGCTTCTAAATCTAAGAAAGATATACGATGGGGAAAAATGTCTGAATCCGTCAATGTGCAAAATCACACACAAATTAATAATAATGAAGTTGAAGAAGACCAATTTGTTGGAGAAGTGTTTTTTTTTTGCATGTTCTGTGTCTTGCATGTTTAGTTTAATTTGTTTAGTAATTTTTAAGATTAAAAAAAATTCATGTTACAATGCGTTTGAAAGTGTATATGAAATTTTTATTATGTTATAGTTAGTATTTATTTGTGTATTTCATATATTTTTTGTATTTTGTGTTCTGTTTTTTTGTGTGTGTGTTAGTTATGTCAATGTAACACATTATATGAGTTTGATTGTGTATATTTCATAGTTTTGATGTTTTTTGTATTCATAGATTTGGTAGTGTATATTGAATTTTGTTGTTGTTTTAGTCATTATGTATTTTTGTATTTCATTGTTTTATTGTATTTTGTATCCATAGATTTGGAATCGTATTTCATTTATTTAATTCATTTTGTATTCTGTTTTTTTTTGTGATAGTTATGTCAATGTACCACAGTTAGTATTTATTTTTGTATTTCATAGTTTTATTGTTTTTTGTATTCATAAATATTTGGAAGTATATATTGAATTTTGATCATGTTTTAGTCAGTATGTATTTTTACAATTAATAGTTGTAGTAATTCAAAAATTATGTTGCATTGTTTCTGAATTTGACATTTTTTTCTAATTTAATTTGTATTTATTCTAAAGGTATGGCAACTAGTTATGTATTTTATTTAAGAATGAGTACACTAAATATTCAATTATTTCTTTTATTTTATTCACTTTTTCATTATACTAATTTTTGTATTTTATATGTTATTATACAAAATTCTATATAAAAACTAGAATAAATAGAAATACAAATAAAATACATATTGAAATGAATACATACAAGATTTTTGAAGAAAAAAATAACTATATAGGGAAAAAAATATATGAAAATACAAATATATTTCTTAAATGACTATATAGAAAAATTTGGCATACCTATTGGAATGAATATAAATTAATAAAAAACTATAATAAATATAAATAGAATATATTGTGGAATTAATATAATTTTAAAAAGGTAAAAATTCCGGAGAGAAAAAAAACAAATTTAAATTTTTATTTGAAAATTAACTGATGAGAAAATTAAGGTTGCTTACCTTTTTTTGAAATATTCTCTCCCTTAATTTTCTTCCTTTTGTTATTAAATAATTATATTCTTTAAATAAAAACAAATAATAAAAACATAAATAAGATACATAACAAACTAAAATATGACATTTTTACTAAATATTGAAAGTGTTGCTAATGAGTACTCTAAAATGCTAAAATATTGACATTTTGAAAAATTTTCCTAATTTTTATTGTTTTAATGAATACAATATTTGGATAGATATTATTTTCCGTCGTTACATAATGTCACACATTCATAATTTGAACAAGGAAATCAGAAAAGTAAGATGCATGATAGAGCTACTATAAAAAATTAGGGTAAAAGATGAAATATAATTATAAAATATAAATAATAAATAAAGACAAATAGAAGCAAATATTACGATAACATCACTCCAAATCAGCTGTTACATATTGTTATGGTTCCAACTTCAGGCTATTAGAGTAGAAGAATAAATAAGGTAAATAAAAAAGGAGTAACAGAGTTTAAAGGAGAACTTGTTCAAGCCAAAATACCAACTGATTGTTGGCATTATTGAGGGGTTGTGCACTCAAGGGTGTGACATAATTTTAAGGGAAAGAGGATAAATATGCCTCCGAAATAGTATGCAGATATCCTTCGTTGTACTTTTGGGACATTGATGTTTCTGTCATTCAAAAGCTAAAGCCTTTATACTAACAGACATATCTTAATTAAATGGTACTGGACTTGTTGTTCTGTTCTTCAAGAAGACTAATATCAGACACACACAATGCATAATAGCAATAGTCTATGAAGTGAGTTGAGAACCATGAGTTCTCACGCTCAAGAAGCTGCAAATCAAGTTAGAATATTGTCTTGCTATCTTCATAACCAAGTTATCATAACGTCTATTCGTATGTATATATATATATATATACGCGAAAGATAGTGATGAACCTAATATTTGTTCCCTCATAAAACCATCTCTTACTGTAATGTACTCTGAACAAAAAAGTATTCTATGAAATTCAGTACAAGAAAGTACTCTAGGAAATTAGTAATTTACAAGATGTATGCAAGTCCTAATAAACAAAAAATGTAGAAAGCATATCACACTGTGTTAACTTCAATCCCAACAACTGATTCAGAATCTGCTGCACGCGTCTAGCTCTGATTATGAATATGTGTGGGGAGGAATAACACAGATACGATTAACGGATTAAGAACAGAACCTGCTGACTTTAAATTTTGGATTCGTCACTGATTCAACACGTATATGTATACCAAGAGTGCTCCTATAAAGACAAGTCACAAGTCTTTTTTGCTTCCAGGCCAGCTTATTTAAATCCAAAGAGACTACGAGGATCAATGGCTAAATCAACGACAGATTTGAGCTCATCCCAGTTTCCATGACTAAACAAATACTCCTGATCTTCAGCACGTGTGTTCCAAAAGATTGAATTTGATGATGTGAATGGCGATTGATCAGGCATGGTCGTAATTAGTTGGCTATTATTGTAGTAACTGTTTCTTTGATCAACTTGATAGTTTAAATTTCCTCCACATGATGCATTCATAATGCTCTTTTGTGGAAATGCCATCTTTTTGAAATTGATGACATTATTGGATTGATCATCACTGATTTCGGATTGAACACTGCATGCCTTAGAACTTGTGTCAACGAAACTTTGTTTAACAACTGGCTGCTGCTGCTTCCAATCTGGTGTGAATCTTTTGTAATTGGAAATCCTTTTGAATATTCTGCAGAGAGTCCAAACTTCCTGCAATTTATGAATATTCGATATACAAGAGTGAGGGTGATCCAATATCAATCTGCCTCTAAACATAATAAGTCATGAATGTGGCTATGTTTGAAGCGATTGAGCACCTCCACCGTCGACCAATAGGTTGAGGGTTTGAGTCACGTTGTTAAAGGTCTTTCAGAAACAACCTCTCTACCCATTCCACAAAGGTAAGGATAAGATCTGTGTATGGTATTACATTGCATATGTTGTTGTTGTATATTGTATGCCAGGATTCTCGGGGACTATTGAACTCTAAGGTAACGAAAATTTCAAGTTCGTTCATACCTATATAAAGGGTAACATGATAGAGATCAACTAGCTAATAATCAATGTAAGTAGTCTCACATACTGATGTCTGAGGAGGATAGTGTATACACAGACCTTACCTCTATCTCATATGTGATGCAAAAAGACTGTTTCTAGTAGACCACCAACTCGAAAGATGAACAGATTCTTACAAACAAACTACACGAAACAATAGAAAATCAAAGAACAAGAAACTAGAAGAGTAGTCCATATCGAGAAACTTACAGCTTCAGCAGCAATGTTCTTGAGATTCGGGAGGTGTTGTCCATTTGAAGTATTCGTCTTCCAAATAGGCGGTAGACGAAACTCATGCATCATCCAATCAGTTTTAGTACCTTTTCCAGCACTTCCCCTATAATATACTAATGATTTTTTGAGGCCAATGCACAGCTCATTGCTTTGTGAATGAACAGGCTTATCAATTCCTGTTGCTTTCCAAAAACCAGATCCTGTTACTCTATTTGGTCTTACACTGTTTTTGTACTTTCTTCCTCTCATGCTGAAGAAATACCATTCCTTATTATCACCTACTCTGCCCATCACTTCTTCATACAAATGAAAAAAAAACAAAAACAATTAGCTTACAAACATATACTTATCTCATGTACAACTTCATATATAACCCTCATAATGACTACAAAAATACACTACATTAAGTATATGATCATTAGTAGTAATTAATTCTTAATTATCGTTAAATATATATTTTTAGCAATAATTAACATTTTATGTATAAATGTGTTCCTGAAACTTTTAGCGACATTGAAACTAATGACACTTAACTAATGCTTGTATTGACACACGTTCATCCTCATCTATTATCTTCTCCAATCATTTAGTGTTATCTTTGTCTTGTGTGTGTTTCTTCCACCAATACTTTTCCTTCCTCAATCTTTAATGCACTTCACTTAGTTCGAATCACACATTATCTTCTTTCTTATCCAAGATATTAATTCGATTAATTATTATTGATAGTTATATGGAGTTATTATAAAATTAGCTAGTATAAAATTGTTATAAACTTCTTACTCTGATTCAAATTTTATGTCTTTATCTTTCTTAGTCTATTTCAAAAAATATTACTTTTTCTCCGTAGTTTATTTAAAATAAAATTTCATCTTTTTATGTTCAGTAAGTATAAATTTCATCACTTTCATATTCTGTTACATGAATGACATAACATATTTAAAATAACAAAAGTCATATGTTAAATATTTTATGTGTCTCACACTACTTATAAAATATATTTTTATATTACTTGCCATTTCCTAAATCAAGATAAAATTGATTATTTTTTCCACTTTATCCTTAAGAATAATTTTAAAAAATTCACCGGTTGTTAATTTTGATATTGATTGACAAAACATATAAATAAAAATATATTTAAAAGACAAAGAATTAATCAATAAATATTTGTTATAAAATAAAAAATAAACAAGTAATATAATTACAACTTTAGATCGAACATGCATTTCTTTATCTACCACGTATTCATGTGGACAAAGATACTGTCGTTGTTGCTTCTAATACTCTCAAGCTAAATATTTTAATGATATATAAGAGTAAGATTATTATTATTATTATTATTTATTATTATTATTATTATAATATGGATACTATATATTATATAGTCAAAAAAAATTCGTGCTGTCTTGTTTGAATTAGCTAATAATGTAAACTTGGTCAACGACAGTGACAAAGTCACTTTCTAATTTATTGTCTTTTTTATATGAATTGTTCTTATCGTTCCTACAACTTTGGGGTCAATAATTGTTGCATGAAAAGGTCAAACAAATATATATATATATATATATATATATATATTACTTTTTTTGAAAAGAATAATGTGTTATTATATTAAAATTATATAATTTTACACTTCTTATCCTATTCTAATTAATGAGATTATTTTGTAATTTCAAATCATTATCTACTCATTAAAGCCGCAAGTTCTGAAAATAAATAATTCTTTTTAAAAATTTAGATCTAGTCAAAACACATTCACATAATAATTAGAAGAATACATAGAGACTAAATATAGAAATAATTAATTTTAAATAGTTTTATGTTATTCGAGAAATTTTTGTTACCTAGGGCATTTCAAGAAAAAAAATGTTTAATTTGTCGTGAAATAGTCATTTTAATTGTGAAATCTGATTATACTAAAAGATATGAAAATATTTTCAGCAATACAAGGAAAATGACCATTTAGAGGATTTTATTTTTCTTATCGCGATTTTAATTTTAAACTTTATATTACTTGCTTCAACTAGTGATAAGACACGTTCATCGATAGAAGCTTATCTTTCAATCATGTCATATAATTTCATAATTGAAGAATATAGTAGAGGAATGTTTTGTCCAAAGAATTTGGCTTATCACTAGATATGTGCATAATTAATAATTTTGTTTTTGAAAATTTATAGCTAAATAAAAATAGCAATATATTTTATAAATTAATTATAATATTTATCTATCACTAACTTATGTATTACTAGTAGTGGAAACGGATAAGCTAGCACAATTTCTTAGTCTTCTTGACCTACAATTCTAATCATTTTGATGCTGGTTATGGACATAAAACAAATTTGCTCAAGTATTTTATTAATCTCTTTTAATGAAACCAAGCAAAAAAAAAAAACCAACACACACACAATCAAGAAAAAAGGTAACATAAAAAGTATAAAATCTTCAATAAATTTTTTTGAATTCACGTGAACGATTGAATGGTCAATATATTTGAATATAGATTTGTGCAAACTAGCAACATGACCAAACTTGTATATATAAGATCCGAATAAAAACTATTGAATTTATATGAACCGTAGATTACTAAATGATTTGGCCAATTTGAACATAGACTATGCAAAAAGATGACATAAAATAACTTGTATAATAGCAAAAATGAGAGTTTTATTTATGTTAAGTAGATTGACCAGTATATTTCACTCTTTGGATATGTCTCTGAAGCATTTAGCGACATTGGTTCTAATGACACTTAACTAATGCAGGTAAAGAATTTAGCACTCTTTATGAGTGTCAATATATGATGCCGTTAAAAGTTGTTTTTGTTAGTGTTTGAACATAAATTTTGAAAAAAGATAATATAAAATAACTTGTATATAAAATCTGAGCAAAAACAATGAATTCACGTGAGTTATAGATTACTAAGTAGATTAACCAATATATTTGAATATAGACTTGTGTAAGAAGATAACAAAAAATTAACAATTTGTGTATATGTGATCGGAACAAAATCTATGAATCCACATAAATCATAAATTACCAAGTAGATCCATCTTTTGACATAAAATTGTGAGAAATAGAACACAAAACTACCTATTATATACTTATTATATGACATGAATAAAAATTCTAAATTCACATGAACCATTAAAACCAAATAAGTCGATCCACCTTTGAGCACAAACTCATAATAAAATTGAACATAAAAAATTAGTGAATTGCATATATACTCACTTGGAAGATCCCAAGGATCATGTTTATAAATATCAACCTCTTTGATAAGATCAAGTTTGATTCTTTTATTTTCCACTTTGCGTTTAAGATAAAACCCTACAAGCTCTTCATCTGTTGGATGAAATCGAAAACCAGGAAGCAACAAATCATTTTCTTCATCATCATCACTATTTTTTATCTTACTCTCACATACTATAGTATTTTCCATTTTTTCTACTCTTTTTTCACTCATTTTTTTAAAATTAATCATATGAGCTAGTGCATGGATATTTTATAGAGTTTTTGTTAGTCAATAAGCTAAAGAAGAAAATGAAATATAATAAATAAAAATGAAAAAAAATATTATTTTTAATGAGAAAGGTCTAGAGATTGTAGTTGCTTTGGTCAAAGACCACCCAACATAATTGGCCTATTTTAATTTGTTGATTATTCAAAAATGACTTAGAAGAAATACTTATTCTCTCCATTTATTTTATGTGAACGATTTTTATTTTTTTTTGAAATTTATGGTCTTAATATGTTTCAAATATTTTTATGGTTGTAACATCATGTCACATTTATATTGAAAAGGATAGTTTATAATTTTGATTATTTCTAAATATTCAGATACGTTATTCTTTTCTTCACATACTAGTTGTTAAGATTATTAAAAGTATTTTGTAATATACAAAAATAGAGATGAAAATCAATTAATTCTTTTCATTTTATCTTTGATACAATTAAGTGCTCTGATTAATTTATTGATTATATTGTATAAATTTGAAGAGTTCAAACAAGTAATTATTAGTTGATATTGTAATTGTTCAAATACCAACAATGAGCTTGGTCTTAGTTATAAATAAAATATATATTTATTAAGGAGCAACAAGAATAAATTAGAAAAAAAAAATCTTTGATTAATAAATTGGGATAATGCCCAAGTACCCCTTAGCCTATGCCCGGAATCTCAGAGACACACTTATACTATACTAAAGTCCTATTACCCCCCTGAACTTATTTTATTAATAATTTTTTACCCCTTTTCGACCTACGTTGCACTATCTTGTGGGCCCAACGATGGTTGACATTTTTTTCAAACTAGTGTCACGTAGGCTAAAAAGGGGTAGAAAATTACTTATAAAATAAGTTCAGGGGGGTAATAGGACCTTAGTATAGCATAAGTGTGTCTCTGGGATTTCGGGCATAGGTTGAGGGGGTACTTGTGCATTATCCCTAATAAATTGTT